CGATGGACAACGAGAGTGCGATATACTTTACTGGTCTGCCGTACAACGGTGTATTCTTCCATCTTGCGCTGCGGACGGGAGTACGGAGTCGAGGAAGGAGACATCAATCAGCGGTGTGGCCAGATTACTACTCCGTACCTTGGAGTTCTCAAACCCACTGTGACCATTTTTAACTTCTATTTTAAAATTTTATTTGTATATGTATTGTATCTTTGATTCGCTATCAAGCCCATAAATATGGGCCAACTTCTCAATTGTTTTCACTTTGGGGTAAGGATCATTTTGAACAGTATGGTTACATGTGATTCTCATAATTGACACTATGGTTTTAGATGGAGCAAACGGAACAAAGTGATTATATGTGTATCTCATATTGGACACTAAAGTTTCAAATGGATGAAATGTAATGTTTTTGTGATCAATTGGATCAAATCAGATGATATTAGCCACTATAGTTTCATATCTCAAGAATCGAGATACTGGGATATGAATGCTGGTGAATGGTAGAAAATGGCATTTGAGAGTAAAAACAAGAAATTGGAGAGAGATGAGGGTTATGATGGGAACATAAAACCTGGAAATAAGCGACTACATGTAAACCGGTAAATGTTACTTAGGATGCATTGAAGAGCCATGATGTCATGTTTACCTACATTATGATGTCATGTTTACTTACGACTTAATTGAATTCACAATTTAATCATTTTGTTAAAAAAAAACTGACTTAATCATTAAGTTGAAATATATTATTCCTTTCCATTATGACTTCTTTTTTTGTTAATTTTTTATAATCAATTATGAAATAGATTTATGTTAACAAATGACTTATTAGTCGATCTAGGGGAAGCTGGTGTCGGTCAAGGGGAATTTGACCTGCGGGAGACTGACGTCGACCAAGGGGCTGGAAGCTAGCATCGACTTTCAGGAAGTCGACCTATTAGCATTTTATTATCCAACTCAACCGTATTAACGTGTTAGTTTAACGAGTGTAGTACTCAATTAACACTATAAAATCGAGTTTGTGTGCATAGAAATACCAGATGCAATATAATCTACTCTTTATTTCACTTCATACAAGTTGATGTATTTAATTGACTTTTTTCTATTACATTTAGTATGAACATCTCAAGCTTTTGCTATTACGGTTTGCTATTTTACTTTACTACATGGTTAATGTGTTCGCTTACAACAAACATGTGAAAATACTAGTACTCTTTAATGGTAGACGTTATCACAGTATCGAAAACCGCTTGCCAACGCTCATAGAATCTAAAAAATCTCTCAATGATCGGAAGAAAATTCAATGTTCAACGACATAAAAATTAATTTTAACATGGAACATAAAAGAAAAAAGATATTTGTACACATAACTTGTACACATTTCTTGTATCCCGTGTACACAGATAGCTTGTTCAAAAAGCTATTGTGTACACAGACAACTAGGCAGTGTGTACAAGAAATGTGTACAAGTAGCATCACCTAACACAAAAATGGTCTTGTGTTCGTAGAATACTTACAAGTGGACGCGGTTTTCAGATTTTAACCAAACCTGACAAATCACATATCCGTAAGGGCAAAGGTAATGGAGGGCCAACCAAGCCCCGACCCACCCCAAATTTAAAAAATCTTTGTATTTCAAGTGTAAAAATGTATGTGTGAAAATTTATATGATTTTTTTTATACCGACCCACCTGATCTTCACTTCTGGCTACGCCCCTAGTGATGTCCTCAAGGCTAGACCAACACCAATTTCATTTTGCCCTATGCAAAAGGGTTAATATGTTTATTTCTCATGTTTAAAAGGTTTCTTTTAATAATTTCTTCAACAACGAATTCAAACAATTTCAACTAATAAATCTATTCTCATTCTTTTTCATGTGTTGTTCAAAAAATATTTAATTTTATTTTTTTAAAGGTTGTTAATACATATTTAATTTTAAAAATGTGAATAATTAGTTTTCATTATTTTAATTGCATTGTTTTATATCTCATATTAACCTCAAAATTATAAAAATATAAATTCAAAAAGTTTGCGTGGTGTTATGCAACTGACAATATATTTTTAAAAATAAATTTGTATCAGAGAGATTGATTACAAACAAAATAATGAATATTTCGAAGATGAAAAACAATAGTGTGTCATACTTATAGAGACTAAAAATGTATTTAAGCTTATATAAAATTCATTTTCATCTTCTATGGGGGAAATTTCCCAAATATGACTAAATGAAACTTTAGTTGCAAGAATAGGAGTATAACTTCTTAATTCCATAAATAAGAGTACCTTTTCAATTCTACCCTTGCTTTGTTTGAATACAATTAATATCTCATTAATAATAAAAATATAAAAGTAATAACATAAACTTATTTATAATAAAAATGTAAAATAATAAAAAACCATGAAAATAAATATTAAATAAAATTCATAAAAAATAGAAAAAATAAAAATTATAAAATAAAATAAAACATAAAAAATTAAAATAAAAAATAAAACGTAAAAAATAAAGAAAAATATGCATACGGCATACCTCTCTGCTGCCGCCTCAACAAACGTCCTAGTAGCTCTAGCTCCTACCCCTGGAAAAAATGCCAACATGTGTCAGTAATGTCATCTTGATGGCAGTTTGTTTTTTAAAAAATTGGAACTTTAAAAGAGTAAAAGTGTCCCATCTTCATGATGTTTTTTGATACAAATGGCATTAATTTTTTGTATACAGATAATGACTTTTTAAATTTGTCGATATGAGGTGGTGGTGTTGGGAGGTGGCAGAGGTTGCGGGAAAGGCTTACATTTTTTTATACAATCTGATTTTTATTTATTTTTAAAGTTTTAAATTTTTTATTTTTTAATACTTATTTTAATTTTTATTATTTTATTTTTAAAAATAGTTTTGAATTTTTTAATATTTTTACGAATTTATTATGAAATGATTCCAAACATATAATCAAAATAAAAGTAGTGGACAAAAATGTGAATCTAATAACTTTAATGATTATAATTCTATTCAAATGTTACATCATAATGACTATATAACTTACTCATAGTAACTTAAAGTCACATTTTTGTCCATTGATTTTTTATTAGTAATATTTTAGAACAAACTTCCTTTATTATATATTTTTTAATGATCTTAATGCTTTATCAATTCAGGGCCCGAAAGATAGATTAACTATCAATTCAGGACCCGAAAGATGAAACATATCGATATAGGATCCGAATGATGAAAAACTATCATTTTAGGACCTAACATTTCATAGGTTTTGATTTATTTAATTTTTTATTAATTCCATTACTAATTTTTTAAAAACTTTTCTTCACAAAAGTTTATTAGTTTAATAAAACTAAATAATCTTTAAAATTTTCAAAATAAAAAAAATTACAAAATTTATCACAACTTAGGTCCTAGATTGATAGTTTTCAATCATTCAGGTCCTAAAATGATAGTTTTTCATCATTCGAGTCTTATATCAATGCATTTCATCTTTCAGGTCCCGGATTGATAATTCGTTTATCTTTCGGGTCTTGAATTGATAAAATTCCATAAAAATATGATTTTTTCTATGAAATTATGATAAGGGTAAAATAGTAAGATAAAATATACTTTAATCCTATTTGTGGAAGATAAACAACATAGAGCCCGTTAGGTAATAGTGAAATCGGCTGATTCTGCTGAAATTTATGAAGTTCGGACAAAAGTGTTTTTATTGGCTAATTTTAATGATTTATGAAAACAATTACATTTAAAATATATTTTATTGATGAAATAAAGAAAAATTATATTAAAATAGCTAAAATGGTTATCTATAGTAAATTTAAAAAGTAACTTTGAATCTTACTTTTTTTTATTATTACACAATTCAGCGCGCGAAATAAAAAATTACGTGTTTGATTAAAAAAATTGATAATAAATCTGATAAGTCGAAAAAACAGAATCCTCAAATGGACTCATAATCTTATTTGTGCATTTTTTAAAGGAGTAGTTTAGTGCTATTTACCCATTTCTAAAATACTACCTTTATCCCGCTAACATGTTCCTAGTTTGACTCACACACATATTAGGGAAATAAACTTACCAGAGAGTAAAATTTATTGTTCCGACACCGTTTGGCACTGTTTGACAATGTTTGGCACTGTTTGATACTGTTTTGATGTGGTATAACTTTCCATTTAGGAAAAGAGAAACTTCTTTTTGGGACTCCTAAAAAAGGAAAACAGAAACTTCTTAGCGAGACGGAGGGAACACATCACTTCTTAGTTCTTAACACTACCTCAGTTATTTCGCGTGTGGGGGGTTATTTGTCAAAGTCTTCTTTTAATACTACATCCGTCCCCCTAAGTTTGGGACAAGAGAAGGTGACACGGATATTAATGAAAGTAGAGTTGATAAAGTAAGAATAAAGTAGGAATGATTTAGAACCACATAAACTTTACCAAATAAAGTATGAGACAATCTTAGTGGGACGAACCGAAATGATAAAATGAGACAATCATAGCGGGACGGAGGGAATCCTCAATATGAGAAACCAAAAGAGAGCTTGTCTGAGAAGCTTCAAAAGTCTTAATACGATAGTATCTCGCAGTGAATCCTTATGTTGGATTTAGTGCCTAATATTTTGTCCTTTCAACAATACTAATTAGATAAATTAATACCAAAACACTTCCCCAGAACTTTATGTTAATCGAAATTACCGTAAAACCCTCCGCTATCCGCGTTGGAACAGTGCAAAAACGCTGTACAGGATTCGTAATTCCAAGTAAACAGAGTGGCATTTTCACTCAACTGCACCGCGTTTCATGATTTCTGGGTTGTAGCTTGGGGTGCAAGCTACAGCGGGTCCACTGTCATTTACCATTTTGACCCTGGCTCGGTGTTCCAGGCTCGGACAGAGACTTGGTAAACGGATGGGCCCACATCCGAACCTCCACGAACAGTAGAAAAACAGATGCCTATACCCGGACCAACAATCCGAACCTCTTGCTAATGCTGTTCCAGACGACCAGACCAAGGATTTCCCGCTATAAACACATGGCCTCTCAGTCTCTCACTCGATTTCTTAACTAAGTGGAGAACCGAAATGTATCTGCAGAAAGAGTGAAAGATCTTCTCTTTGAGTATAAATGGCTTTGACTTCAACTACTAATTAGAGAAGACAGAGACTCTTGGGTGTTTTCTAGGAACTCAGATTGATTAAAAAGAAATCTTTCCTTGCATAAATCTTTGTTCTTGAATGCTTTATGTATGGGAAGGTGAGATTCCAGATTTCAGCCTGATGGATTGAGATGAATGTCATTTGATCAGTGTTTTGATTTTGGGGTTTTGTGGAACTGGAATGTCGAAATGCTGGAGATTGAGCTTTTCTGGGGTTCTGTGATTTGTTTTGTGATTCATGAAGATTTGCCCGTTTGATTGAAATTGGGCTTTTTGAAGACCCCTCTATATTTTAATACCAAAAAGTTAAATTTTGTAATCTATGAATTAAAAAGTTCATCTTTTTTTAAAATTCTTGAATTTCAGAGTGTTCATCCTCATCATATTTTTATTTTCTTGATGATTGCTAATTTTTAACTTGTTGAGAAATTTGCATTGTTTGCCATTTTCTTTTCAAATGACTTATGATAAACTAGAAAAAATATTGGTTTACCTATCTCATCGATTGACCTCTTGAATGCTACAACAATCCCACACCCGTCAAGTATGGGCTTGATCGGTTGCTTATAAGCATGGCGTTCCCTCCTCCCAATCGGCTGGTCTTTTGGGAGTGAGTTCTACATCTGGGCTTGTGGTATTAGTATGGACCTAGTACGGACTAGGATTGTAACAAATGGGAAAGGGAACTTGACTTCTTACTTGTTAAGGCTCTTATAGGTGGTGATTTATAGGGGTGATATTATTTAAGTTATGGGATTGATTGAGAAAGCAGACACAATCTAAATTAGTTTTCTTTGTTCAAACATTCTGAAAATTGATCATAAATGTGGTTTGTAAAGAACACAGTTTATTTTGTTTCTCCAAAAGAGGAAATACATTAAATTATAAATTTGCATCATAAATTCTTGACCAATGATGATTCTTGAACTGTTTCAGGTCTTGGCTGATTAGTAGCAGAGGGCTTGCACAGAAAGTGAAAAATGGCAATGCACCTGAAGAACATGGAATCAACGACTGCGGGGCTACCGGTGAATGTCCAAATTGTCATCACCTTATTAATAGCAGAGATGTAAGGATTTCCTTTCCTTAGTTTACATAATCTTTTATCTGCAAATTATATTTAATAATGAGAGAGTGATTCTTTTTCGGTTTTGTGATTCAGATCTACCCTGAGTGGCCTGGTTTTCCTGTCGGTGTAAAATTTGAGCCGTCTGATGTTGAGATCTTAGAACATCTAGCAGTGAAATGCGGGGAAGGAAGTTCCGAACCACACATATTTCTGGATGAGTTCATCCCGACACTCGAGGGCGAGGAAGGAATTTGCTATACTCATCCAGAAAACCTTCCCGGTAAGCCTAACATTGCGTTTCGTGTCTTTTTTGAGTTTGAACAATCATAAGATGCAAAACAGTAGCACGTATGTTGCACGGAAACGCTGAGTCTTAATATAGCACGTATACAAACATAAGATGCTATACTCATCCAGAAAACCTTCCCCGTAAGCCAAACATTTTATAAAATTGAACCCTGAGTCTTAATATAGCACGTATGTTGCACGGAAACGCGAAAATCTCAAGGAAACGGGAAATGTCAACTTTTGCTCAAAGAAGGGTTGTTTGGAGTGTTTATAAAGAGTTTCCGTAGAGTTTCCAAAACAGAAACGTACTCTTTCACGAGAGTTTCCGTGCTACATAGTTAATAGCACACAAGATCATTACGCTCAAACAAGCTAACCCATCCAACTCTACTCATGTAAAGAACATAATTTATAAAACTAGTTTGCTCTAATGAATCACCATTGTGGAATCACAATCTTAATAAAATGTATCGCAACCCCAAGTCTTAATTGTGACCTTAAAATGTTTCGAAGAGCTCGAGTTCAGTCCATGTTGAGTTTTTGGCAGTGTTTTATCTGTTTACACGTTATGCGATCTAGGGGCAAAAAAAGATGGAAGCAGTGTCCACTTCTTTTACCGGACTAAAAAGGCATATGCTACTGGGAAACGAAAGCGTAGAAAGATTACCGACAACAAGAGTTTGATGATAGAGCATGTTCGTTGGCACAAGACAGGTAAGACCAAAGCTGTGATGGAAAATGGAGTTCAAAAGGGGTGCAAGAAGGTAATGGTACTGTATAGGAGTGCCAAGAAGGGAGAAAGACCTTATAAGACCAATTGGGTGATGCACCAATACCATCTAGGAACTGACTTGGATGAAGAGGAAGGTGGATATGTGGTCTCTAAGATATTTTATCAACAGCAGAAGCAGAACGACAAGAGTGTGGATGACACTCTTCTTCTGCCTAATGCTGAATCTAATATGTGGACTGCCCAGGATATTCCTAGGACTCCCATGACTGCAATCCCTAATCCGCCTCGTGCTGGACAAACCCCTTCTTGCGATCAGTCTGTAGCTTTGTCGCCTCTTGAGGTTTGTCATGAACTCAATTTTACTTGGTTTATCTAATATTCATATGGATAACTCCAACATTGCAGTAACCAAATTTATGTTTTTGCTCATCATTTAGAGATCAGAACATTCTTAATCTGCATACTTTGTGCTCATTCAGAATACTCGTGTACTTATGATTATGTGTTCCTAGCTTTAACCTGGACCGCCTAATAGGGCTTGCAAGGAGAAAACGAGACCTCCTAAGTTAGAAAGCCTGAAAATTTGAAAACATATTATGTATAGCATGCAAAAGCTAGTGTTATGTTTGAAATTACATAACATTATACTCCGTATAATAGTATTTGAAGAACATTTCTAGATTAATTTGTTCATGCTGTGTAGGGAGTGGAGGTGGCCGAGGAGGGGCAATATACATATCCCCGAGATGTTCAAGTCAAGTGTGAAGAGTTAGCAGCATGTTTGGCTGCTGATGACAATGACATAGATGGTTTCTTGATTTCTGATGGAACTGCCTGTTCTTATGATTTTAACAATCGCGCGTCTAATCATGGCCATTCTGCTAACGACACTAATCAAATTCCAGAGGGAGATGGCAAAAACTCAACTAGTTTTTCTGATCTTTTGAACTTGGAACTGGACTGTCCACCAGAGTTTTCTTTGCAGGATTTGCAATTTGGATCTCAAGACAGTATCTCTAGCTGGTTGAACCGGTTTTGAGCTCCGAACAGATATTCCATCGAGTCGTGTATTTGGAGCAATTAGTTAAGATTGTATCATTGATCATTTGTGGGTTGTATGGTCCCATTCGAATGGAAGGCATCCATTTGAGGTCAAGGAGTTCCAAACTTTCTGCAACATGCCCAGCTTCTTAATACCAGTTTGTATTAAGAGTTTGGTACATTAAAAGGGAAAAGAAAACAGATAAGAGTACTCCGTTTTTGTTTTTTGAGATTTGACCTCTTTTTGCAAACCTTCCATGCTTCATGTTGTGTGTGCTTCTGTAAACTTATTAATAATTAATATTCTTGTAAGTTGTTAACTGTTTAATTGCTTTCTTATGACTCTAATATCTGATAGTATTGTTATGTTCTTAACAGGTTGTTTTATTATAGTAGTTTTACTACTACTTATTAATGCTAACACGACATGATCTACATGTTTGTATGAATATGATATGCATATGATATTTGGAATAATGGTCAGCTAATTACTTTCGTATTAAAAAATTAAAATGGTCTAACTTGATAGTCTCATCCCTTGTTTAATGATTTGAGTTTTGAAAGTCAATCTTGTCATGAATGATGAAAATTGACAACTAGAAAACATTGTCTTTCCAACATAATTTTTTTTTGATAGTGTCTTTCCAACATAATTTACGAAGTATAATTAAGATAAACTTCAGTTCCTTTGCTGTTCCGGTGTACGTTGTTTTTGACAAGCTGTTCATTTATCACCATCGAAGTGTGATTAAAATTTTGGATTACCATATAGCGAATTGAGTTTCTATTATACGATACTATATTACATCCCGTGCAACACACGTGCGTTACTAGTAATTCTATAAAGTGATACATATGTGTAATTATTATTATAAAGCAGGGGTTATTTAGGAACGCACGTGCGTTACGCATATGTACCGCTTTATAGAATTACTAGTATGCACGTGCATTGCACGAGATGTAATATACTTATTTTCTAAATGTTAATATATAAATATAACTTCTAGGATAAACAAAATATAAATATAACTATAGATCATATTAAATACGAAGTATAACTATAAATATGAACATTTAGAAAATAAGTATATTACATCTCGTGCAACGCACGTGCATTACTAGTAATCTATAAAGCGGTACATATGCGATATTAATATTATGAAGCAGGGTTATTTAGGAAAAGCAATTGAAGTGATACATGTTCGTTAAGAGAAATCGTGGAGCTCTCCGAGTGTTTGAGTGTCTAAGTGAAATTAAAAGTAGTTTAGCTTTTCAAAACATTCATATTAGGAGTAAAATTATTAAGTACCACTCTTCAATAAAATAAACAAACTGATGAGGTGCCTAACAATGGTTTTCGTTAATGAGGATATGTGACTGATCAAAAATGGGAAAAAGTGGAAAATGGGGGATGAACTTGGAAAATAATTGGCGTTTGTGTCTGCATATGGTGGTCGCATGGTGATTTGGTGTATGAGACTTAGAGGAGAGTTTGAAGTATTTCATTCACGCGGTCTACTTGAAGTGTTTCGGATTTTCGGTGTTATTTATTAAAGAGTGGTACTTAATATATTTTACTCGTAATGTGAACGTTTTGAAAAGCTAAACTACTTTTAATTTCACTCAGACACTCAAACACTAAGAGAGCGCCACGATTCCTCTTAACGAACATGTATCACTTCAATTGCTTTTCCTAAATAACCCCTGCTTCATAATATTAATTACGCATGTATACCGCTTTATCGAATTACTAGTAACGCACGAGCGTTGCACGAGATGAAATATACTTATTTTCTAAATGTTCATATTTATAGTTATATTTAATATGATCTATAGTTATATTTATATATTAACAATATAATACATCTCGTGCAACGCACGTGCGTTACTAGTAATTCTATAAAGCGGTACATTTGCGTAATTATTATTATGAAGCAGGGCTGGAATAGGAAACTAAACTATTGTATCGGATAAGGAAGAATCCTGAGCGAATAAGTGAGCGGTCCATTTGACTTCTCTAATGGTATGTTGAAATATTATCCCAATCGTACTAGAAGTTGTCCGCATTTCCTCTAGCTAGTTCTTCCATCTTCCATCGTAGAATAGGTCTTGAAGAAGAGAAATCATCCGCTGGCAATCTGTATCGATCTCGAATGTTGTAAAGCCTTTATCAATTCATTGCCCAGTGAAGAGCAAAAATATCAGCTCGAATTTTAGCTTCAAAGGCTGACTCTGCGCGGATCTGAAATTTTAGACCAAAAATGAGCTTCCCTTTCATATCTTGCATCACCGCCCCGCCCGTCTATCTATCAGATGAGAAAGAAGCATCAACATTGAGCTTTAATATATCGTTATGTCTAATCCGTTTTATTGTCATCACTTCGCTTCTCGGTTTGCTGAGCTTCCATGAAAGAAGTTTTTCTTCCATCTATAGATCAAAACCTTTATTGTTCTTACATTTCTTCAGATTAAGAAGTTGTTCTCTTCGCCTAATCTATATGTTTTTGATCTAAATTTTTTAAGATCTGATCGGATCTGATATAATCTGAATTTTTCTGATCTTATTTGATCGGATCTGAATCTTTCTGATCTGGTCTGATCTGAATCTTTTTGATATTATCTGAATCTTTCCGATCTGATCTGATTTGAATTATTATTATTATTATTATTATTATTATTACTATTATTATTATGATTATTATTATTATTATCATTATTATTATTATCATTATTATTATTATCATTATTATCATCATCATCATTATTATTATTATTATTATTATTATTATTATTATTATTATTATTATTATTATTACTACTACTACTACTACTACTACTATTATTACTACTACTACTACTATTACTACTACTACTACTATTACTACTACTACTACTACTACTACCACTACCACTACCACTACCACTACCACTACCACTACCACTACCACTACCACTACCACTACCACTACCACTACCACTACCACTACTACTACTACTACTACTACTATTACTATTATTATTACTATTACTATTATTGTTTTATTATTATAACTACTATTATTATTATTATTATTATTATTATTATTATAAATATTATTATTATGATTATTATTATTATTATTATGATTATTATTATGATTATCATTATTGTCATTATTATTATTATCATTATTATTATCATCATTATTATTATCATTATTATTATTATCATTATTACTACTACTACTACTACTACTACTACTACTACTACTACTACTACTACTACTACTACTACTACTACTACTACTACTACTACTACTACTACTACTACTACTACTACTACTACTACTACTACTACTACTACTACTACTACTACTACTACTACTACTACTACTACTACTACTACTACTACTACTACTACTACTACTACTACTACTACTACTACTACTACTACTACTACTACTACTACTACTACTACTACTACTACTACTACTACTACTACTACTACTACTACTACTACTACTACTACTACTACTACTACTACTACTACTACTACTACTACTACTACTACTACTACTACTACTACTACTACTACTACTACTACTACTACTACTACTACTACTACTACTACTACTACTACTACTACTACTACTACTACTACTACTACTACTACTACTACTACTACTACTACTACTACTACTACTACTACTACTACTACTACTACTACTACTACTACTACTACTACTACTACTACTACTACTACTACTACTACTACTACTACTACTACTACTACTACTACTACTACTACTACTACTACTACTACTACTACTACTACTACTACTACTACTACTACTACTACTACTACTACTACTACTACTACTACTACTACTACTACTACTACTACTACTACTACTACTACTACTACTACTACTACTACTACTACTACTACTACTACTACTACTACTACTACTACTACTACTACTACTACTACTACTACTACTACTACTACTACTACTACTACTACTACTACTACTACTACTACTACTACTACTACTACTACTACTACTACTACTACTACTACTACTACTACTACTACTACTACTACTACTACTACTACTACTACTACTACTACTACTACTACTACTACTACTACTACTACTACTACTACTACTACTACTACTACTACTACTACTACTACTACTACTACTACTACTACTACTACTACTACTACTACTACTACTACTACTACTACTACTACTACTACTACTACTACTACTACTACTACTACTACTACTACTACTACTACTACTACTACTACTACTACTACTACTACTACTACTACTACTACTACTACTACTACTACTACTACTACTACTACTACTACTACTACTACTACTACTACTACTACTACTACTACTACTACTACTACTACTACTACTACTACTACTACTACTACTACTACTACTACTACTACTACTACTACTACTACTACTACTACTACTACTACTACTACTACTACTACTACTACTACTACTACTACTACTACTACTACTACTACTACTACTACTACTACTACTACTACTACTACTACTACTACTACTACTACTACTACTACTACTACTACTACTACTACTACTACTACTACTACTACTACTACTACTACTACTACTACTACTACTACTACTACTACTACTACTACTACTACTACTACTACTACTACTACTACTACTACTACTACTACTACTACTACTACTACTACTACTACTACTACTACTACTACTACTACTACTACTACTACTACTACTACTACTACTACTACTACTACTACTACTACTACTACTACTACTACTACTACTACTACTACTACTACTACTACTACTACTACTACTACTACTACTACTACTACTACTACTACTACTACTACTACTACTACTACTACTACTACTACTACTACTACTACTACTACTACTACTACTACTACTACTACTACTACTACTACTACTACTACTACTACTACTACTACTACTACTACTACTACTACTACTACTACTACTACTACTACTACTACTACTACTACTACTACTACTACTACTACTACTACTACTACTACTACTACTACTACTACTACTACTACTACTACTACTACTACTACTACTACTACTACTACTACTACTACTACTACTACTACTACTACTACTACTACTACTACTACTACTACTACTACTACTACTACTACTACTACTACTACTACTACTACTACTACTACTACTACTACTACTACTACTACTACTACTACTACTACTACTACTACTACTACTACTACTACTACTACTACTACTACTACTACTACTACTACTACTACTACTACTACTACTACTACTACTACTACTACTACTACTACTACTACTACTACTACTACTACTACTACTACTACTACTACTACTACTACTACTACTACTACTACTACTACTACTACTACTACTACTACTACTACTACTACTACTACTACTACTACTACTACTACTACTACTACTACTACTACTACTACTACTACTACTACTACTACTACTACTACTACTACTACTACTACTACTACTACTACTACTACTACTACTACTACTACTACTACTACTACTACTACTACTACTACTACTACTACTACTACTACTACTACTACTACTACTACTACTACTACTACTACTACTACTACTACTACTACTACTACTACTACTACTACTACTACTACTACTACTACTACTACTACTACTACTACTACTACTACTACTACTACTACTACTACTACTACTACTACTACTACTACTACTACTACTACTACTACTACTACTACTACTACTACTACTACTACTACTACTACTACTACTACTACTACTACTACTACTACTACTACTACTACTACTACTACTACTACTACTACTACTACTACTACTACTACTACTACTACTACTACTACTACTACTACTACTACTACTACTACTACTACTACTACTACTACTACTACTACTACTACTACTACTACTACTACTACTACTACTACTACTACTACTACTACTACTACTACTACTACTACTACTACTACTACTACTACTACTACTACTACTACTACTACTACTACTACTACTACTACTACTACTACTACTACTACTACTACTACTACTACTACTACTACTACTACTACTACTACTACTACTACTACTACTACTACTACTACTACTACTACTACTACTACTACTACTACTACTACTACTACTACTACTACTACTACTACTACTACTACTACTACTACTACTACTACTACTACTACTACTACTACTACTACTACTACTACTACTACTACTACTACTACTACTACTACTACTACTACTACTACTACTACTACTACTACTACTACTACTACTACTACTACTACTACTACTACTACTACTACTACTACTACTACTACTACTACTACTACTACTACTACTACTACTACTACTACTACTACTACTACTACTACTACTACTACTACTACTACTACTACTACTACTACTACTACTACTACTACTACTACTACTACTACTACTACTACTACTACTACTACTACTACTACTACTACTACTACTACTACTACTACTACTACTACTACTACTACTACTACTACTACTACTACTACTACTACTACTACTACTACTACTACTACTACTACTACTACTACTACTACTACTACTACTACTACTACTACTACTACTACTACTACTACTACTACTACTACTACTACTACTACTACTACTACTACTACTACTACTACTACTACTACTACTACTACTACTACTACTACTACTACTACTACTACTACTACTACTACTACTACTACTACTACTACTACTACTACTACTACTACTACTACTACTACTACTACTACTACTACTACTACTACTACTACTACTACTACTACTACTACTACTACTACTACTACTACTACTACTACTACTACTACTACTACTACTACTACTACTACTACTACTACTACTACTACTACTACTACTACTACTACTACTACTACTACTACTACTACTACTACTACTACTACTACTACTACTACTACTACTACTACTACTACTACTACTACTACTACTACTACTACTACTACTACTACTACTACTACTACTACTACTACTACTACTACTACTACTACTACTACTACTACTACTACTACTACTACTACTACTACTACTACTACTACTACTACTACTACTACTACTACTACTACTACTACTACTACTACTACTACTACTACTACTACTACTACTACTACTACTACTACTACTACTACTACTACTACTACTACTACTACTACTACTACTACTACTACTACTACTACTACTACTACTACTACTACTACTACTACTACTACTACTACTACTACTACTACTACTACTACTACTACTACTACTACTACTACTACTACTACTACTACTACTACTACTACTACTACTACTACTACTACTACTACTACTACTACTACTACTACTACTACTACTACTACTACTACTACTACTACTACTACTACTACTACTACTACTATTACTATTATTATTACTATTACTATTATTGTTTTATTATTATTATTACTACTACTATTATTACCATTATTGCTATTATTGTTATTACTATTATTACTATTATTACTATTATATTATTATTACTATTACTATTGTTATTATTATGATTATAATATTATGATTATTATTATGGTTATGATCATCATCATCATCACCACCACACCACCCTCATCATCATCACCGCCACCACCACCATCATTATCATCATCAGCATGATCGATAATCATTATTATTAATCATATCTATAATTCAAACAATAATTATAGAAATTAGGCAAAACTGTCAAATAGGTTATCGAACTTTCATAGAAAGGTCAAATAAGTCCTTGTATAGGAGCCTCTGTCCGGACGTCGCGATTTGGGGTGGTTCCTGGTGGAATTATTTTAATTATAACTACGATTATAACAATAAATACAATTATAACTATATCTATGATTACAATTAAGGTATGCCTTCACTGAAGAGGTATTGGCTTGCTCCCCCTCTTCTTTTGTATTAATTATTTACATTAATAAAATCTGGTAAATTTTCTCTGACATTTACCTCATTCATTTTGGTGGTTTGCCTACCGGGTTAAAAAAATTATGATTACAATCATAGGAAATGATGATGATGATGATGATGAAGATGATAACAACAATAATAATACTAATAATAACAATAACAATAACAATAACAATAACAATAACAATAAGAATAACAATAATAGTAATACTAATAGTAATAGTAATAGTAATAGTAATAGTAATAGTAATAGTAATAGTAATAGTAATAGTAATAGTAATAGTAATAGTAATAGTAATAGTAATAGTAATAGTAATAGTAATAGTAATAGTAATAGTAATAGTAATAGTAATAGTAATAGTAATAGTAATAGTAATAGTAATAGTAATAGTAATAGTAATAGTAATAGTAATAGTAATAGTAATAGTAATAGTAATAGTAATAGTAATAGTAATAGTAATAGTAATAGTAATAGTAATAGTAATAGTAATAGTAATAGTAATAGTAATAGTAATAGTAATAGTAATAGTAATAGTAATAATAATAATAATAATAATATGATTAATAATAGTATTTATATAACCAGCGATGTGCGCATTACGTGCGAATAGTGCCCAATGTAGTTATGTAAAATATGATTTCAAAAAAGTAATAATCAAGAAATGAAGAATTCAAAGAAAATTATATTGAGTAAAATGTGTTTGAAGTGAAGAAGCTAATAATGTTACAAAGTGATGAATATGTGGGAGACTATCTAGTAATAATAATAAAAAAGAAATGAAGGCTTTAGTACTCGTAATAATTGAATTTAAATCATGGAAGTTTAAGTTCAATGTTAGTGTTTTTAAGTGAAAATAAATGGAGCATCTAATTTTAATAAATGTAATTAGTAACATTTTTTTTCCTGACATGTATTTGTATTTCATGATAATTGAGTAGAAATCCATCTTTTTATGTATGTAAGCGAAATGCAACCGAGAAGATTATAATCAACATTGTCGATGTATTCTGAAATAATTCTTAATAATTATAATGTGTGTAATAGATCGAGTTTGAGTATATGTAGTGCAATAAATATTTAAAGTACATAGTCTGAAAGTGTTTAGGGATATTTGATACGGAGTATTACAAAGTATGAAACTTACGCCTTAAAAAGAGTAAAACCTAAATAATACTACATATAACTTTAGGTGCAACATAGTGAGTTCATGTCATTATTATTACATACTTATATTTTAAATAGAGGATAAGATATGAAAAGGTTAGCACTCGTGTCTCTTCCCTTTGTTCTTGGTAGTTGGCGCGATAGCTTCGGTCTTTTCATCATGTTGCACACCACTGTCATCAGATTCATTGCCCTATGCAAGAATCAGTCTCCGCTTTGATTTCATTGTTGAAACCTTCACATTGATATTACCATCATCCATATTTGGTTGTTTTGATGGCAACTAAAGAGAAAGTACAACTATATGTGTCTTCAACTCTCCCTGGTACTGTTTAACAATAACCTTAATAGCAGTAACGGAAGTAAGATCCTTGATGGTATCATTTAACTCAACACAATCGACAGAATCGGGATGAAAATTAGTAGTCATGATGAAACTCAACAACTTATGCACTTCGCTAGTAACGAAAGTAAGATCCTTGATGGTATCATTTAACTCAACACAATCGACAGAATCTGGATGAAAATTAGTAGTCATGATGAAACTCAACAATTTATGCACTTCGCTAGTGAATAAAGTTGTTTCAAGCACGCCAGTTTTGTCTAAAATCTGCATAGCCAGCCAATACCTACAAATATAGTACATTTCAGTGAGAAATGAGCAACCAACATGAAGACAGGCACACGGAAAATTGCCAACAAATTTTATGAATTGTTGTTATTAATGGATATTTAATGAGAACTTTATTATAGAGAATGATCATTATAAGTGAATTATTATGGGATTTTCTGATGTTCTTAACATAGCCTTGAAGTCATGGTTTAAAGTATTTAAATTACTTAAATTTAATTTATTTTTCTTGGTGTTGACATAACTTATTTCTATAATAGTTCAAACATCATTTGGTTTACCTTATCCTAGAAACTGGAATGTGTAAATTTAGCGTTAAAGTCTAATACAGAATCTCTAGTAACTATTTACATGCATTTAGTTGTAGGTCAAACAATTAAACGGTTTCGTTACAGGCTATAGAATCTGAACACTTCTACTTTCACTAGTGGAAAATTGTCAAATAGAGGCGCTTCATTTAAGGCGCTTTTCAGTCAAAGTGCCTCTATTAGTCCAAATTTTATTTTTTTATTATATTTTACATAAACGTGCGGCGCTTTTTACTCTAAAACGCCTCCAAAATTTTTTTAAATTATTTTATATTTAAAAAAATAAGCAGGCGTGCGGCGCTTAAGAATAAAAACGCCTCCCATTTGTTTACGTGCTTTTTGTTTTTTTTTAAAGTAACCGAGCATGCGGCGCTTCAGAAGCAAACGCCTCTAACGAAATAGATAGATGCGCCAGGTTTTAATTGAAATAGGCGTGGTGAGCTTCTACTCCAAACAGAGGCGCTTGAAATTACATGCGTGCGGCGCTTGAAATTACATGCGTGCAAATTTGCAAACATGCGTTCGCCTCCAAATTTGCAACCTAGCTTGACTGCAATCTAATTCCTTGAAAAAGCAACCATTGTAAACATGATGAATAATGCAACAAAGCACAAGAAATACTCTCTATACTAATTCAAAGAGGATTATAAAGTGTCATTCCTTAGCACCCTGGATTATACTTATATTTGTTATTCTATAGATTAAACTTTGCTACAAAATTATACTTATAATCTAAAGATTTGTTCAAAAGAAATATAAAGAATTATAAATACTTATTCTAAAGAATTATATTTATAATGTAAAGTTTTATTCAGAGTTTAACAAATATTTTTTATTCAGAATTATACTTATATTTCTTATTCTAAAAAACTCATGACAATTGTTGTTCAGAACCAACAGACACAATTTACCTTAATAGCTCTTTACTTGTAAAGTCATTTGCATATTAGTGTATCACAATAAAGTTGTGATTCTAATTCATTGTGAAAGTGTTAACATAATAACTGTTCATAAGGAGATATTAAAATTTGTTAGGTAGTATTAAGATTTGAAGTGTTTTTTTTGTTTGAAAGACTTTAATAACCAATCCCCTGAAATACAAACTAAGTGGTGGCTAAAAATTAAATATTATTTCATTTGTACAGTTTGGACAATTTTGTGTTCTTGTTCGAACAATGGTCTATTGTTCTCTAATGTTGGGAAAATAATCAATAGTATGCATATCTAGGAATTATATTTTTTGTTTACTTCTCAATTTAGGTATATTTGTATTCTTTATTTACTTTTCTCTGTTTATTCAAATATACCTTCATGTTGCTAGGTCTGTAAACATGAAGTGGCTGGTTAGTATGTATTTTGAACTCAAACCAAACAAAAACACTTGTTGGTTTTATCAGTGATTAAATATTTTAAAACTTTCTTAGATAACTCTAAAAGCTAATTAGTGTCAATCAGTACAAACAAAACCTAGGGGCAAAGCCACTTAAATACCATTCCCATAGCAATTCCTCTCAGTTTCCAAATGAAATGTAGAATAATTTTTTCAACCCTCCAGATTCCAGGTACATCATTTTCAGGTTAAGAATTTTGGACTTATGTACTTGGTGTGCTATGATATACGGAGTATACGGCAATAAATATTAGAAATAAAAAATTTCAGGCTTTAAAAAGGTTGTTTTTTTCTTGTTACGTTCCTATCACCTCCATTTTTAATACATCTACTTCTTCTACTGCATAATTGTCATGGTATGCACTTAATAAATTCGAAAAAACTGCATTGTCTATTCAACAAATGTGTACGTTCAGCATTTGCATACATGGCTGTATGTTTTCCAACTTTAACACACTCAATTAAACTTGTACTAGTTATTCTAAAAAGGCTTAAGGGTCAAATAGGTCCTCAAACTAATTTAAAAGTGTAATTCACCCATTATATAGGAGACTCTGTCCGACTGTCGCCAATTGAGGTGGTTTCTTGTGAAATTTTTTGATGAAATTTTTTTTAACATATTCTTCATTAAATCTAGTTTACTCATACCAAATTCCAGATAAAAATTCAACCGGAAAGATGGCCAAATTAGACTTTCAGATTGTCTCTTGGGAGAATAATGGTTGAAGAGGTTTTTTTTTAAAAAGTAGAAGAAGAGTTATACCGAGAATAAACAATATTTGGAAAATATTTTGGGAGTGTTTGCATTTGATTAAAAAAAGTGCTTTTCAGCTTTTGGCTTAAAAAAAGTTAAAAAGAGTGTTTTCAAATGACAGCTTCTGCTTAAATTAATCACTTAAAAGCTAAAAGCTGGAAGCAGGTGGAAGGGTGCTTTAAACTGCTTTTCACTTTTTCTAATAAACAAAAAGTACTTCTTTTACCAAACACTACCAACTTTTACTTTTTCAGAATCACTTTTTCTTCAAACACTACCAACTTTTACTATTAATCACTTTTCCCAAAATCACTTTAAAAAATCACTTCTTTAAAGTTGAAGCAATTGCAAACACTCCCTTTAACTGCTGTGTGTCCATATCATCTCCATAGACTACAATCCACATATTCAATGCTGACATGACACCTATGACTAGGGGTGGGCATAAATACCGAAATATCGGTATACCGCACTTACCGTACCGAAAAATACCGGAAAATACCGAAATATTGGTATACCGTCATTTTCGGTACGGTATCATACCGTACCGGTCTATTTCGGTACGGTAACGGTAAATGTTTTCAAATACCGCGGTATACCGGTATAATACCGTACCGACTCCCTACTCAACAATTACTTTTAATTCTAATATATTGTAGAAATCCATTACAATTTTGAAGCCCAAAATTAATACTTAAGTTGGTTATAAATACAAAAATACAAAAATAAAGGCCCAATTTCTCAAACCCACCATAACCTTATAGGCTTCTACTACGCTAACCTTAAATGACTAATGAGTAATGTATAAATGTCAAGAAACAAGTTCATCTTGTTCCAAGAGCTTGCAAGTCGTGATGGTTGGGCCGCTAAGTAGCTGACGAGTCAAGAGAGATACACTTATGTGACAAGTGTATCTACATAGGGATTCAGCGAGTCGAGACACACGACTTTGTCCGAAAGTCTTATTCAATTTTTAAAAAATTATAAAAATGACTAAATACACAATATCATATTAGGAATAAATGATTTTATATCCATGTTGTTTGAATAGTTTTATTTATTTTTGTTAGAGATCACTAGTATGTGGTATGTTGAACTGCTTAGATATACTGATAATAATTATTGTTCAATATTGAATTGACATCAATAGATTATTTATTGTATTTCGTAACATTTTAATAATAGATTTAATATGTCGCTAGTAATAACGATTTAGTATATTTCGTTAGTCTATGATAATTTTTTGTATTGGGAGACATGCACGGTAATTACCGATACCGTACCGTTATCGAACCGAAACTTCGGTATACCGAAATGCGATATACCGAAACTTCGGTAAGGTAAAGGTATGCAAATTTTGCATACCGAAAGTTTTGGTACGGCAAAGGTATGAGAAAAAATATAAGGTATACCGTACCGAACCACCCCTACCTATGACCGGATGACTAGGCAAAATAGCTAAAACCCTCCAAACATCTAACCTGTCCATTGACGACGCTCCACAGGCCTTCAAGCAATATGTCAATGGCTATCTAAGAAGACAACTCAATCGGCGACTCATTTTTCGTCTTTGATTGGAATTGTTCGCTCTCGCTACCCCTTTGTGATGTTTACCGCAAGAAACCTTCAAAGGCACTCTGTTAGAGCCCTCAATTTTCTCATTTCCAGCAATTCTACAGAGTATGTACTATCCCCTCCATTCCTCCCGTCAACTGTACCCTGTCATTTTCGTTAATAATCAGATTTGATTGATCTGTATGGTTAATTTTGAAAAAAATAGGAATGCTGTGCTACCTAAAGGGGGCAATTATCGGCCTATGGACGGGAGTTATCGGCCTGTACTTCGTGGAATCAAAGAGGCGACAAAGCCGTTTATGTTTAGTAGAATTCGGAATCAAAGAGCCATTTATGTTGATGGGGCTCGAGGGATGTCAGGAAAGAGCATGAGGAGCAAAGTGGAGGCGAGGCTGATTAAAGAGACGGGCAAAACCCTAAGAGAACGTAGGAGAGCTGGTAAACTTAGGAAGAAGTTGATGACTGAAGAGGAACGGCTTTTATACAATCTTAGAAGAGTACGTTAAATCATTTATGATGAAGCATTCTCCACAGTCAGCTCAACTCTCTATGGCATCTCTATAGAAATGCAAAATTTGTTTTTTTTTTTTATTTTCTTCTTAACTTATATCCTTAGCATGTTATGAGTTTCAGTGTGTGTATTGAGATGAAGAAAGATGATTTATTTTGCCATTAGCATCCTCATGTTTTGTTCACTTTCTCTAGTGTAGGCAAAGAAAAAAGTGGCATTGCTTCTTCAGAAGCTGAAAAAATATGAGCTTCCAGAGCTGCCATCCCCGAAGCATGATCCTGAGCTTTTGACCCCCGAGCAGCTTCAGGCATATAAGAAGATTGGTTACAAGAATAGAAACTACGTTCCTGTTGGTGTCCGAGGTGTTTTTGGGGGAGTTGTCCAGAATATGCATCTTCACTGGAAGTTCCATGAGACTGTTCAAGTTTGTTGTGATAATTACCCTAAGGAAAAAATTAAGGAGATGGCCTCCATGTTAGCACGACTGAGTGGTGGTATTGTGGTTAACATTCATAATGTGAAAACCATTATTATGTTCCGTGGAAGAAATTACAGGCAACCCAAAAATCTGATTCCTATCAACACACTTACAAAAAGGAAGGTTAGTAGTATGTAGTAAAATCTTTTGAATTTCCTTATAATCTTTTATTATGATGTCAGCGAGACATTCACTTGAACTGTCAAGTTTGCTTCCGAAATAGGTTTGAGGGGTTCAATCTAACAGATTTCTGAATGTTGTAATATACAGAGTCTGAGATGATGGTTCAGATATGCGCATCTATATGTTTACATGAAGATCAGTTCTGTGTTTATGCTTCGATATATTTTATAATGAGATGTATATGATAGATGTTACCAGTACTCTGCAGTAAATTGGTCAAAATGCAGGAAGTTATATTTCTTTTACCTCATATCTATCTCTAATAATTATGTCTTTCTGGTCAATCTTATAATGTATGTAGTACATTTGCTTGTATCTGGGTTTCTGCCTTTCATTCTTTCCCATTTTAAGTTGCTTTTCTCCTGGTCTTGTAATAATTGTGATGCTGGATCAGATATGTCCAGCTATTTATTACATTACAACATGAGTTAATCTGTTGGCTGGCAGGCACTATTTAAAGCAAGATTCGAGCAAGCTCTAGATTCACAGAAATTGAACATAAAGGATTATGAACAAAAACTCCGTAGAAAAGGGATAAATCCTGATGATCCGGTGGCCATGGCTAGCATACAACGTGTAGCTTCCACATTCTTCAATGCCATCGACCAGAAAGAAGGAAGCCCTTATGTTTTCCAAGGCCACAAAAGCAACCAAGCAGGTCCCAGCAGCAGTGACATAGAGCAACATCAATCTGATGAAGAAAGTGATCAGGAGGAGCTTGACCGTTTTATAGCTGACATAGAAAGGGAAGCTGATAGAGAATGGGCTGCTGAGGAAGCAGCGGAGAAGGAAGAACTTGGGAGAATCAGATATTTGAACCAGGAGGATTTCGGTGGTCGGCCCAGAAGAAGATCAGAGAATGGAAGTGATGGTGAATCAGATCGTGAGTTAGGAAGGACAAGGAGCTGGAATGATAAACGTGGCATGAAGTATGTTCATGATGCCAGTGATGAAGATGACAATATTTCTGAGGATGATGATGGATGGCGTTCCAGAGGGAAAAGTAATTATGATAATCATAGAGAGTACAACAGTAGAAACCAAAACATAAGAAGCTGGGGAAAAACAAATATTGGCAAGGATAGGGGTAATGTGAAATCCGAGACATATGGTAAACCTAAATTTGAAGAGAAGATGTCAGATGAGTCTGCTTCAGATGATACGCTTAGTGATCTTGAGGATGCAATGTGGGAATCAGACAAAGGGGATGAAGAGTGCATAAAAGAAAGCACAACCAATGGTGCTGCTGGTAACAACAAAGCGAGTCATGGGAACAAGATGAAGGTCTATAAGTCAAAACAAATGGATGAATGGGACAGTGATTAGTGAAAAGGCTTCATGTTGTAACTAGTACCGTGCAATTGTGCATTGAGGAACCTTGTGTTTGGGACTTGTGCGAAAGAAAACTGAACAACAACATCCTGGTTTTGTTGGGTGGCTTACAGTTGGGAGTTGAAATCAATCGGGAGGGATGCAGGCTTATGGGTCATTTGATCGAGGTGGAGGTGAATATTCATTGCCCCGCAGTTATCTTAGTATCATTTTTTTAATGTTGTCATACATCTATTGCTCATTATATATAAACCTAAATCTGTGAAATATTATCTTGGAAGATAGAGGCTGCTACTTGGGTCTTTTTTCATGCATTGGCTTTCTTATACGCAGATTTGGGCAGATTCTATTTATTGGCGATAACTGTGCAATGTGATGTATTAGAATGTTATTGGAACACAATGCATGAAGAATAACGACATATTGTGTTGTGTAAATTTTGTCTCCTTCGCCTGTAGCCTTTGGATCTCTTTGTATTGCAGTATCCTACAGATAGTATTTGAATATTTCATCTCATTACTCTTTCAAAATAGCAAAATTATTTTGCCAATTGAAGTGTTAAATGCCCAAGGATGGTGCTAAGTTTTGGGAGGCCATGTGCGGATGAAGATTCTGTGGCCTCCTTTCCTTTTACGTCATTTATAAATGTTTTATATTGGGTTTGTTGGGAATGTATACACTTATTCACCATGGAATGTAGGTATACTCATTGAAATATGTGGCTATATCTGCAAAATTTTGCTATTGGTGCATATCAGCATATGCTCAGGGCCAACACTATTAATAATTTAATATGCCTCAAAGGAAGGTATTGAAGTTGTAACTTTCACTCCCATCAATTGAAAGTTTGGGATTCACATATTAAAGTTTCTCTTTGCGATGGTAAAATTAAATGGTTGAATGTGTTGAGATTTTAGCTTAAAATGGATGAATGAGCTATAACAATGAAAACAATAAGTTTAAAAAGAGAAAATGGTCAAATGAGGTTTTCTACTAATGAAATCGTCACATAAGGTCACTTACTCAATTAAGTGTCATATAATTACGTCTATTTATAAAAAACAATCAGATGAGTCCTAATGACTTGTTGACAATTTCATAATCCCTGCTTTAACGTACATTTCACTATCTTTTTAAAATGGATTATAAATGTGATGTGAAATATTTGGCCAAGATTAGCTAAAATCGGGATTAAGAGGTTGTCAACGGGTTGTTTTGACTCATCCGGTTGCTTTTTATAAGTAGACGGATTTATATGAAATTTTATTGAGTACATGACACTTTATTTATACCTTCCGACTTCCATAATACTAGAAGACTTTATTTGACCTTTTTCCCGTTTAAAAATGATATGGAGTATTATGTAAGTATGTAACATTTGTTTGCATTTCAAAAGATAAAAAAAGATATAAAGATATTGTACAAAGATTGGGATGATTTGTTTAAGGTGGTGGACGGGAAAACTGAAATGATCAACAGACTATTCATTTTGTATCCATGTAATGTGCTAAAGTAAATCTTCACATACAATCCACACGAGTCTAATTAGGTAGTGTCCATGTGGACTAAATTCAAATCATATTTTTCTCATAGCCAGACACAAATCACTTAATATCGCTATTTCTTCTAATTTGATGGAATATTTTATGAAATCACTAGCACTATTGAAAATTGGGGAAGTGTTTCATACTTTCATTAAACATATATCCAACTTGAACATTACAAGAATTTGACTGTTATCTCATGTTCATTCTAAATGAACAAATATATTGTCATCCCATCAGGAAACACATACTAGGTATTTACTAAATATTTTGTATGATACATTACTACCTTCTTCCCACAAACATTAGGACATGAAAGGGTGACAAGGTTATTAAGAAAGTGAGTTTATGAGGTTAATATTGAATTGATAAATTGATAAAGTAAGAATAAAATAAAAATGAATTAGAACTATACAAACTTTACCAAATTTAATATTAAACAATTTTAGTGGGATTTCCCGAAAAGAAAAAATGGGACAATCTCAACGGGACGGAGGAAGAATATTTTAAGGAATAGGGAGCGGGGGATCTTCATTAACTTATCTTTTTTCATTCTGTTTGAGTTTTCTTTATTTAAGTACTCTGTTGTTTTCGTTATCATTGATTTTGAGGGTTTGTAGGTTTATTTTTTTGTTTGTATTGATAGATGGTAATTTGTGTGAAAACAATCGGGCTATCTTGGCCGATAATAGCTAAATTCGGAGCTCTCGCTAGTTTAGCGATTATTTCGCTCAAGTTTGAGTGATCTATTCTTTGTGTGATCATGGATTAAGAGAACCTGTTTGATTCAGTAATTTAATACTATTGTATAACTTTTCTCCTTTCAACCGGGTGTCCTCTCGGGCTGCAGGGGCGGGGGCATAGACCAACAAAATGAAAAAACTTTAAGGCCAATATATGACTTTTGTTGTTGTTGGGTGTAGACTAATTTTTCAACCGTGAATTAAGAGCCCGTTTTGCTAACATTAAAATCGGCCGAATCGGCTGATTCTGCTGAAATTTGTGAGTTCTATCTAAAGTGGTTCTATTGGCTGATTTTGCATTTTTGCTGATTTATGAAAAAAAAATATTTAAAATATTTCTGATTAATAAAATACTCATTTCATCTCAAAAACATTGATCAAATCGACTTTTCTTGGTCAATGGTGGTCAAGTTTGACCAATGTTATCTTTTCTTTTAATACAAAATTATGTAAAATATAAATATTATATGTGCATATTCTTTATTAAAAAATCTTTCATAAAAGTATAAAATGTATAAATTACACACAAATATAATACCTAAAATCATTGTCTAAATTTTAACATCATTGATTAAGAAAAGTCAAATTAACCAATCTTTTTGAGACGGAGAGAGTAAAGAAAAAATTATAAGATAGTATGAAAAAATAAGCTAAAATTGTCATCTACAATATCTTCAACCCATAAAACGAGAAAAGTAACTTAATCCCTACTTTTTCTTATAATTACACCATTCAGGTCGCTAATCAAAGTCGTCAAACGGGTTCTAAGTAGGGGTGGGTAGAAATACCGAAATATCGGTATACCGCACTTACCGTACCGAAGAATACCGGAAAATACCGAAATATTGGTATACCGTCATTTTCGGTACGGTATCATACCGTACCGATTTATTTCGGTATGGTAGCGGTAAATGTTTTCAAATACCGCGGTATAATACCGTACCGCCTCCCTACCCAACAATTACTTTAAATTCTAAAATATTGTAAAAGTCCATTACACTTTTGAAGCCCAAAATTAATACTTAGGTTGGTTACAAATACTAAAATACAAAAAGAAGGGTCCAATTTCTCAAACCACTATAACCTTCTATGTTTCTACTACGTAACATTCAAACAAACAAACACTAAAGGCTAATGAGTAATGTATACTTGTGAAGATGAACCGCTGACGAGTGAAGATGAATATACTTGTGTGACGAGTGTATCTACATAATGATATATTCCGAGAGTCGAGGCACACAAGGTTGCCTAAAATTCTTATTCAATTTTTTTTAAACTACAAAAATGGCTAAATACACAATATCATATTAGACATAAATGATTCTATATCGATCACTCTGATGATTCTTTCTTTTCAGACAATTTTCTGGGACATGCAACAGAAAGCGACCGTCGCCCCCCTTTATCAAACCAGGAAGAAATTAGAAATTCCAAATTCAACATAACGATTTGCCGTAAATCAAAGTTGGTCACATATGAAAATTGCTTGCCAACAGAAAATCTCAACACGCAACTCAAACTCTACAGGAAATCTCAAAAGAATAAAAGGCGCCACAGCATGAGGACCAGATCACAATCCAGAGACTTCCCTTGGGTCTAGTTTAATCTTTACTTTACTTTTCTTTTATGTATTTTGTTTTCCTTTTTTATCTTCTTGCACTGTAATTTTTGTTTTATGAATAAAATTGTTTTCGTTAAAAAAAATGATTCTATATCCATGTTGTTTGAATAATTTTATTTATTTTTGTTAAAGATCAACATTCATATAATTATATCTATATTGTTCAAGTTATTTTAGAAGAATATGTTATTTTTTAATACCTGGCATGTTGAACTGCTTAAATATGCTAATAATAATTATTGTTCAATATTGAATATACTAAGTATAGTTAGGAGAAATCAATAGATTACTAATTGTATTTTGTAACATTCTAATAATGGATTAAATATGTCACCAGTAACACCGATTTTGTTAATCTATGATAATTTGTTGTATTAGAAGACATACATAGTAATTGGGTTTAATGCATCAAATCCCCCTGTGATTTGGAAATTCGACGCATTAGCCCCCTGTGATTTAAAAAATGCGTCAAACCCCCCTGTGTTTTAATTAATCATGCGCCAAATCCCTTATGTGAATAAATTCAATTGTCAAATAAAAGAAATATGATTAACATTTTTGTATGATTCAGGGATTTTGACATATTTATTTGCATATTCAATCAAAATATTACGAAAAGTGATTTTCAAATCGTTAAATTTATTCATAAAGGGGGTTCTGTGCATGATTAATTAAAAAACAGGGGGGTTTGATGCATTTTTTAAATAACAGGGGGGCTAATGCGCCGAATTTCCAAATCACAGGGGTTGGTGCATTAAACCCCATAGTAATTTAAGGATACCATACCCTTACAGCCCCACTTCTACGCTGTGGAACACTCATTGGGAAAGGCTGAGTGAGTCATAAGGAGACGGAGACTTCCGTCTTCACTATTCAGTGGAACAAAGTCACAGCCGGTGGGAACGAGTATACACTTATAGACATCGAAGAACGGAACGCCAAGTCGCCGACTCGCTGACCGCCCTGCCGCCGACTCTTGGCCGCCTCCTGCCCTGCCCCTGCAAGTGTCAAGTGCTCAGTCGATCACTCCCCACTTCATCAGCCTTCTGGTGCCTCCGCTCTGCTTACTGCGATTCAGCGCTTCACGCTTCAGGTACTCCTCCGACCTCTTCATTTCTTAACGGCTGAATTCGTTTAGTCTTTGATTGATTATTGATTAGTTCATTAATTCTGTAACCCCTAAATGTTTACTGTTTATAAATGAAGAAAGAATTTTACCAATATTACTCCTGGAGAAGTGAGCACAAAAATATGACTTGATAACTATAGTTTTGTGTAAAGTTTATATTTTACTGAGTTCATGTTTAAAGTTTAGTATATATTGTACTAAAAAAGTTTCAAAAATGTGACTTAGTAATTACTACGTATTAGTGATTAATTAATATACGTATATATTAATACACGTATATTAAAATTTCGGAGCAAATATACCTAGTAGGGAAAAAATGGGGGTGGCGCCCCAATTAGCCCCCATTTGTGTCCGCTAGTGCATGTAGGCACTACTATGTAAACTTTGAATACAATTATAATCACTAATAATTACTAAGTCACAAATTTGAAACTTTTTTATTAGTAATATTTTAGAAAAATCTCATAAATGAATAGTTGATAAATAATTAGTTGATTTGTTGGCTGTTTAGTGTTAAGTGGTTAGTTCATATTCATTTTTATTAACTAACAATAACATGCAAAATCCATCAATTAATTATTATGAAACCAACCTACAATAATCACCTACGAATGTTAATTTTTTTTTTTTTTTTTTTTAAAACCCCGGAAGGCTAACCACCAATATGAGTGGGGTAAATGCCGGGGGGACATTTACCATGATTTATTAATGTCTAAAAATACATCAGGGGGACCAAACCTTACCCGAGAATACATCAATTTATATCCGAAAAGAAGGAATGCCAAAAAAATCCATCCAAAAGGTCTGTTTTACTAAAATAGGAAGCTGATCAAAGAGAGGATAAAATTTAACCCGATCCACCGCTTCCTGGGCCAAGAAATGAGCGGCCCAGTTTCCTTCCCTCTTAGTGTGCCCAAGCATGATACGTTTCCTAATTCGCAGAGCTGAGATTTCCTGAATTGCATTTTGCCATCTTCGTCCATCACCTACGAATGTTAATAACAACAATAGTGTAATAACATTATTACTTTTGAATTTAACTATTCTATATGTAATTTAGCTTACCTAATTTGCTATGCATCAGCTATTTACAGCAATACTATCCAATACTTATGTATAGGTTTTTAGACTTTCTGCCATAATCCGCTATCGATAACATTGTTACACTCTTTTATATGAGTAATTAGTTATCCTTTTATGAGATCTTAGCAAACACAGTTAATTTGAAGTCAGTCTGTTACTTTTCAATGAATGATATGGTGCTATGTTGTTTCACAAGTGGATAGAAAACTCAACATTTTTTCCCATAAACTCTACCGTGGCATATTTGTCTTTTTGTATTTTCATACTGATAACAGTATCATTCGTTCATCGTTTTGATGATATTGAAGTGGCTACTGGTTATGGCTCCGTTTGTTTTTTGGAGGTTTCACACCAAACCGCTGCTTTTTGCAGCGTTTCACTTTGTAAAAAGTTGGCGGTTTGGCCAAACCCGCCGATATCCAAACGGGGGCTATATCTAGGCACTTGTCTTTGCCGCATACTGCAGTTTCACTGTGCTTATCTTCTTTCATTCATTATATGTAGCCTGCTAGATTGTCAGCTCAGCATGGTGGGGTTCAAGAATAGATACATGGTAATGGAAGTATTTTTGGATCCAAATAAGGACATTGTGGGAAATGACCCTATTATTATCACACAATTCAATCTCTCAAAATCTATCAAAGATAGCATTCTGGTGAACTTTGGAGAGTGTGGTCTAGCCTCTTCGCTCAACTCATTTCAAGGTAAATGGAACCTAGGTAGTTTACTCGCTACTCGGTAGCTACTCGGTCAAGGACCGAGTAGCGAGTAGGACCGATTACTCGGGATTACTCGGTGATTACTCGGCCTAGTATTAATTAAATATAAAAAATATATTTAAATATAGTAGTCTTAAAATATAGTAATAAAATTGTCTTTAAATTGTCTTAAAATGTTTAGAAGTGAATAAAAGGATAGAAATTGTCTTAAAATGCATATAATATGTATACAATACCAGAATACAACTTCAAGAAGCACGAGCAGGGGAAGAAAAGGCAAATATTTTCTGCAGCTTTTTGGCACCTACTGAACAATGAGTCCTCAAAGGTAGTTCCCTAAATGAAAATTGCAGCTCACCCAAAACCAAACATGATGCTTTTTTGCTAAGCTATATTTTTCACCTTTTCAATTAAGAGATTTTATTTCAGCATTCAGCAACTCAGGTCGCAGGGGTACATTCAATACATTCACTTTAGTTGGCCAAAGACTTGAAAATGTACAATGAAAACACCAGTTTAAGAAGCAAAAGCAAACAAAGAACAACCCAAAATTCTTAGAGTTTATTACAGTATACAGAGAAGAATATAATAGGCAACATGAGGGAGAATAAGAAACAACACAGAGGATAATCTCAATTTAATTTTTTTCCTAGTGGAGGTAATGTTTTTTTTAATACCGAGTACTCGCGAGTAAATCGCCTTTTTGACACACTGACCGAGTTGGCTAACTCGCCGAGTACTCGGCGAGTAACTCGGAATAATAACTCGGGCCGAGTAATGTGCTACTCTGCAAGGTCATAGGCCGAGTAGGGAGTACTCACCGAGTACTCGCCGAGTACTCACCGAGTAAATAACCCAGAATGGAACAGGATATACATTTCTGGTTTTCACTTATCACCATAGTATTTGAGTGCTGTTCCCTGTTTGTTGGCGCTTTACTTATATTTATGGTAAAGAATAGGGTACTTTGTAACTTACGGGTGTCTACATTATTTTATTTATTGGAGTTCTGTCGATTCAAGACCCCAAAGGTAGGTTCTTTATCAGTACAGGACTACGTGAAAGATAAAAACTATCATTTTAGGATCTCTAGAATTGAAGACTCTCAATCCAAGACTTGAACAGATCATGATTTTTTACCCTTTTTAGTTTAAAATTTTCTGAGGAAATTGCTTATTGGGTTATATATCAAATTTAATAAAGGATTCATTCAAAACAAAATTAAAAATGAAAAGAAATTCATGATTTTTGAAGTCTTAGATTGAAAGTTTTAATCATTCAATTCCTCAACTGATACCCGTTTTGGCGTTTTCATCTTTTTCGTTTCATGTCCTGAATATAAACTCATTTTTGTCAATGCTGCATTTTTTGGTGTAGTGAAGTATGTCAACCCTATAACAAAAGTTTTCATCATCAGAGCATCCAGGGAAGATTATAAAGAAGTTTGGGCTGCAATCACCTTAATTAGGAATATAGGGAACTGCCCTGTGGTATTCAACTTATTGGATCTGAGTGGTAAGCTCAACAACTCCTCTATTTCACTCTCATAATGATGTAGGTATTTTTCATTTCACCTGCAATCTTGTTTTGCGATATGATAATATAATAGGAAGTATCAAGGCCTGCAAAAATGCTGCTTTGAAGTGTGAAATGTCAAAGTTTGAGCACTATAAGTTGCTAGGTGGAAGCAATCTTAATGGAGATGTGGAGCAGCAGATGACTAATTGTCTTGAAAAGATCAAAGTTTTGGAGCACTGAAATATGAAACAAGTGTAATCCTCCATTTTTGTTTTCATTCATCACTGATAATGCCATTTTCCCTATTCCCTATTTTCGCTATACACTATCTATATAAGGAAAGGTTTCTATATTAAGAAGGTGAAAAGACTTTTATATTAAGATCCAAATATGTGTTGGAGCTTAAAACCATTCAAATTACACAGAAATTGGTATACGACATTGCTTACCACTTGGGATGGACCGGGCTCGGGAGGCCCGACCTGGGATCTGGCCCGGCCCGCTACTGCTTAGGCCCGGCCTGGCCTGCTACTGTTTAGGCTTGGCCCTGCCCGATTTTCCGGGACCGGTACCCAGCCTAGTACGCGGCGTGGCACCTGGCCCAGTGGAAAACAAACAAACATAATTCCTTACAATTATGAGTCCGTTTATTTAAAACACTAAACTTGGTTAAGTTCTGTCTCAACGTGTAAAGTGGTTGTATATGTTGAGTTAAGAAATAATTATTTCTAAATATATTTTACTAATAAAATAAGTAGAAAATAAAATGAAAATTGTTAAAATAATCATCTTTAGCAAATTAAGATGTTTGCTAAATCTAGTTTTAGTTCTAGTTTTAGTTAAAAACATCCTTACTAATTATAGTGGGTCAATGATATTTTCCCAAACAACCTAACTCGGCGTTTTGCATCTTCTTTCTCACGGAGCTTTCATCTGCACGGCTGTTCACGCCCGCACGTCCTACACATAGCTCATCCAGGGCGTCCAATCCGCTATCCGCTACCCGCTGCGGTGCAACACGTAGAAGATTCTGACTTTGGCACTTGAAGAATTGGCGAGTTGGAATTTTAGCCTGATCGGTGAAAGAAAAATACTACGTATAACACAACGCCCTATGCCCCAGGCTATGAAGAATTGAGGTGTCTTACTGTGAGTCTTTTTAAATAAATTTATATGTTCGAATTCATGAATTGAGTAATTAACTCCTGAACTTAAGCAATTTATGCAAGACATTTATAATATAAAATCCGTAAATACATTAATGATCTACTCCGTATTTCTTTTTGGCTTCAGAATATGATGGAATGAAACAAAATGACTCAATAAACTGTTTGCGGTTCTTTGTTATGAAACAACAGTCAATTCATGCAATTTTGGACGCGGTTTTCACTATGGGTCATTCAGAAACACTCTCTGTATTTTACTACAGGGTAGTCATGGATCAGGCCCGGGCCAATTCTGGTTCCGGTTCGGGCCCGACCGGGCTTTTTTTTTGGGGGGGAGGCCCGAAACCGGCCCGGGATGTTACTGGGTCCGGGCCGGTTCAAATTTTTGTTTTTGCTTTTCTAATTAACCCCCGACCCTCCCCCCTCACCCCACCCCCAACCCCCCCCCCCCCAAAACACCCAGCCCAACCCGGGAAAAACAAAAAAAAAATTGAAAAAAAAAAAACCAAAAAGGCCCGAACCGGGCCCGGCTGGGTCGGGCCGGGTCGCTATTTTGCCGCCCTGGAACCGCCCCTGGTTAAAACGCCGGGTAGGGCCAAAGCCCAGTACCGGAACCGGTCACCTGGGCTGGGCCGGTCGACCCGGACTGGGTCCATGACTAGTACAAGGGTAAGATTGCATACATCCGATTTGAGCACTGGAATAATGATGATAATGAGTCCTTGTCATTACTAATTTATGATGCCTGAATTCATTAATTAATAGGTTTTGTGTTCGGAACATGCAACTTATCTAGTAGTCATCTATGCAGCACGTACACTTTCGTGCACGCCAAATGTACAACGTTAAAATAGATTGAGACAGTTTTTGTTTGTGATTGCTTCGAATCATAAGCCGTATCCTATACATATGGAAGGAAAATACTTCATGAGTTCATGATTTATGAAAGTTCGGGAAGAATGCTAATTTGCTTATTTTTGTAATAGTGTACATAGGCAAGGTGAACTGGACGCATCTCAATTTTTTCTTTAATCAATATATTTGATGAAGTGAAACATTTTTCTAATTGCGACATTGCTAATAGGATGTTAGAAACATGAGTTTATTATAATTATTTTTAATTTATTATAGTCTTTTTTCAAGAAAAAACTTCTAAAATTTTGATGCTTTTGTGCAATTCTAAAACATGTAAAGTTGAAGAAGCTAATGAAGTTAGATTTAAAGGGATACCTTAAACCTATTAAACAAGCAATCGAAGTTATTTTATGCTCTCTCCTTGCGTGGTTGAAATTTGTGGAGGTGAGAGATAACCACATATTCCCTGCTTAAAAGAAATTGAAAACCTTTCTTTTGAACGACTAAATAAGGAAATTTTACACCGTTTTGTGGGACGGGGGAGAATGTGTTACATTTTTTTCCCCAAGCAAAATATCCACCTCGTAGTCAAAATGCCACGACCCCATATTCATGGCCAACCCACTCGCACATGACCCTTAAATTTTGAAGGCCTGAAATAATGATAATTTATTAATAGTATTACTCATCATCCATATTGAACTTCAAGCGACAAGCCGATAAGCTACTAAGAAAGTGAAGTGACAAATTAAGCCTACGGAGGAAGTCGACTATCGACGAGCGAATGAGTTTCCGATTGTTCGAGTGACTGACGAGCGCCGTTAGCCCACCACCGTGCCCCGCCTCCAGGAGTCCAGGACCACGACTGAAGTGCGTCACGGGAGTCAAGGACTCACCGCTCACGCCCAGGGGTGGATCATTGTGAAGGCAGGGATGGGCTCCTGCCCAACCCAAATTATTATTTTTTATTATTAAAGGCATAGGCTTAATGTTCAGCCTACGGCCCAACCCAAAATTAATCCCAGCCCAACCCACCTATTAGCAACTATTCCACTTAAGCAAACATGTGGAGTGCGAACTGGCGGAATTGCGGAAGCACGAAGGGTCGAAGGTCGAAGAGGTTGAAGCGGAGCTGCGACGGAGACACCAGCCGACCTGCGGCCACCAGACGGGTCGCTTCCCTCCGTTTAGGGCCCTGCGTTGGCCATCTTCCATCTACGGCTCTCTGATTCCGACTCTGCCTTCTGCGGCTCTGCGACTATGCCTCCACCTCCAGGTATACTTTAAATTCTAATACTCTTTTCTGGATTAAACATTGTATTATTTTGTGAAACATTGTTAATCTGTTTGAATATTTGATTAAAACAGAGGGCCTGGAGCGATTGTGTCATTGTGTTTTAGTTGTTAAACATTGTGTCATGTTGTGCTTGAATACTTTGTATACCAAGAGCATTGTGCACCTTGATGCATCTTGTAGTTTCCAATAATGATACATCCATTCATTTTCAGTTTCTCCATTAGTTAAAATGAGTGACGAAGAGGTAAAAGGTTCTGCTGATCAGGATAGGGAAGAAATAAATGTTAGTGTGGAAAACCGGAAAAAGAAAAGGAAGCTAAAACTAAGGGAGGAAGCTAAGAAGGCTGGAAAACGTGGAGTTTGCTACATCAGCCGGGTGCCTCCACACATGGATCCTGTGAAGCTCCGTCAAATTCTGTCTCAGTTTGGTGAGATTCAGCGAATTTATCTTGTTCCTGAAAGTAAGTTATTCTAATCTCCTCTGTAGTTTGCAAAATGAGTATTAATTAGGCTCTTAGTTATTTTTAGTTAGGTATTATCAGGCTAAGTAAGCTAACATTATCATTTAGCAACATAGTACAAAATTGTGATAAAAGGTAGTTAATGCAACTCATGTGAGATTTTTGTGAATAGATCCAGCTGCACAAATGAATAGTAAACGGGCTGATGCTTATCGTGGACAAGGATTTTCAGAAGGGTATGCAACTTGAACTTGGAATTGGAAGTTTTATCCTACAAAATTCTTACATGGTATCTGAAAAACTATGTACATAGCAAAATAATAGAACTGTCTAGTCTTCCATCATATGAGTATTGTGTGTGGTGTTTTTGGATAAAAAGTTTCTAACACTCTACTCCTATTTATTTATTTTTGTTTGTTTATTATTTATTTATTTATTTATTTATTTAAAAAGTTTCCCCCTTACCCCACCGTAGGTGGGAGCCTTTGCGGCACTGGTGAAATGATGATGCTGATGATTTATTTATTTATTTATTTATTTTTGTTATTGTTTGTGTGTATGTATAATATTTAATAAACTTATCTTTCTAGATGTCAATTATGATAACACCTTTTGCAGGTGGGTTGAATTCACAAAAAAGAGCATAGCTAAAAGGGTCGCTAAGATGTTAAACGGTCAACAAATAGGTATAGTCAAATAGCCCGTATCTGTGTTTGTTTCTTGTGAGTTTGTGAATATCGTCTATGATTTCAAAGTCGTGCTTGGTTTTAGGTGGCAGGAAAAGATCAGCATTCTACTATGATCTTTGGAATATCAAGTACTTGAGTAAATTCAAGTGGGATGATCTTACTGAAGAGACTGGTAGGGAAACATGGATGACTGGCCATTCATTTAGTTGTTATATATTTTGATGGCCAATCACAAATTCATCTGGCTGAATAAATTCTTGCAGCGCATAACAATGCCGTTCGGGAGCAGAAGTTAACATTGGAACTGTCAGCTGCGAAGAAGGAACGAGATTTCTTCCTCACACAAGTTGACAAAGCCCGTGCGTTGAGTGCTATTGAGGAACGGTTAAAAAAGGTGGCACATGTATTCCTCTCTTGCTGCGTTCCTAACGCATAACTGCTGCCATAACCTGTCAACTTTGTTATTTGTTTATATCTTTATTATGTTCTGCAGAAGCAGAAAGTAGTAGAAAAGTCAGTAGAGTCTTCTGGCATTCCAGAAAAAGCGGATGGGCCAAGAAAGTTCATTAGGCATTTCCACCAGAAGGCGGCAGTGGTAGCAGGAGGAGCTGGAGAAAGGCAAACTAGACTGTCTAAGGATACACTAGCGGCAGTAATTTCTTCTTTCTTCCTCCTCCCTTTTTACTGCTTTTACATATAGAGTAAACTTTATCTGAATGAAGAATAAATATGAACACTTTCGTGCTTCAGGTGTTTGGTGGCCCATCGTGATTGCATTTTCTGCTGCATGAGTGTAAAATATTTGTCTCAGGGATGAGGTGTGAAGGATACAACATTTGATGATTTCTTATGATTTCCTTCATGAAGTACTGTTTTTTGACATATATTATGATTCTTGTTTATAGAAACTGTTGTTTACTCTCTTTCTTGGAAAAGAAACGTGTTTCATTTTGTATTGAAA